GTTTTAGGGTGATACTGCTTACTTTACAAGATAGTATTTTGTATGACACTGATGGTCTCTGTCAGGTATAATATAGAAGTAATTACGCAGTGCTTTGAGAACTGCTAGCTTTGAAACAAATTTTGTTAAGTGTGTGTATGTGGTTTTTTTGTTTGTTTTGGTGTTTTTGAGACCAAATGCTGGCTCAAGTGTTGCAAGCTTTCAGGTAGTTTTCAGAGCAGGTGTTGATTGGCAGTAGAGACTCTGGCAAGCTAACATGCTCTGGCCTTCCTTATTTCTGTGGTAAAATATGGCTAAAAAAGGAAACTCTTTTCTGCTATTACTTTTCCAGTTCTTGGAATTATTGTGTGGAAATTGTGCCATTCATGGGAAGAAGAGAAAGGGCTTGGAAGAAATACTGATGCTATTTATAGAAGTGCCTTGGCATGTTGACAGCTGTGTACAGTAATCATGGTTTCTAAAACTGAGGAAGCAGTTCAGACTTCAGTGTGTTTGTTTTTTTTTTTTTTTTAATTAATAGGAAAAGGTCTCTGAATAAAGTAGCTATCAGAACTGAAGAAGTGAAAAAAATCCCTTTTTGCTTTATTTCTTTCTTTTTGCAGTTTCAGAGTTGTGACCTAATCTTCATAGCTTTTATGAATTTGATACTGAGAACGTACGAAATTAAGAACAAGTGAGCTTATGCTCAAGCTTACTAATAAGAATTTCCCACACAGTCACAGCTTCTTTTTCTTTTTGCAAGTTATGGAAGAAGCCAGTGGTTCGGTGTAGCTGACTCCGAAGTTAGTGCACAGTTGTGCTCTTTTGCTTGAAAATATCCCCCCTAAGCCCACCTTGTAGTGGTGGTAATGTTAGCAACTGATATGCAGCAGACATTTTACAAACTCTGGATGTAGGTACTTCTGAGGTTCCGATTTATAAGTTATGGATGGAATTTTCTGCTGCATGATTTTGCCTCTCTATAGGTGTTCAACACCTACCTACATCAGCTGTGCTTCTCCTACACATGTTGCTCTTACCATCTTGCTGTCTCATAATAATATTCTCAGAACGCACAGATGGTTGTATGATGTTTCAGCAGAAGTTATCTGGCAAGGGGAAGACTAGAAATGATGCACTGAAAAGTGGGATATAGATGACTAAATGGCATCATGGGGAGATGTGCTTAATTGAGCAGTTCCAAACCATTTTTTGATTGTGGAGTTTGGTGGGCCTCCAAACACTAACATTAATATTATATGAAAAAGTGTTCTTTTGAAGTAATATGTATTTTATCAAAGGGTGGTAACCACTACCCTTTGATTGCGAACCACTTCTGTAAGGTTTTCCTTTTGGTGATTCTAAATTGGCTAAGTATTATCTGTGCACTTTTAGCCACTTTTTCTCAGAAGGGTGAAACAACACTGGAGGTCTTACATAATCTGTTTCCTTGGGGGTATTGGACTCAGCAGAGAGGAAATAAGTTTTCCAAATAATGCACTGTGAGCAAGAAGTCATATTTTTACTCAGATTAATAACTATGACATCATACCTATAAGTTAACAGGAATATAAAATAATTACATGCATACGAAACATATACATATAAGTAATTACAATACCTAATGTATATATTGTACTAATACAAAGTGATAGCACCCAAATAACAGTTTAGTTAGACTGAGAGAGATATTCTGTTAGGTATGTATCTGGGGTGAAAAACTTTGTGCCCTCTATACCTGTGCAAACCCCCTTTGGGAAATGTCTTAATAAAACAATTTATTAAAAATAAGCTTCATTCTGTTTCTTTGTTCATAACATTAGGTATTACAGAGCAAGATATATTTCTTCCATATATCTTATAGTTTCTAATTCTTCTATGTAATTTTTAAAGACAGAAAAGCTTCCTTGCTTAGAATTACCAAGTAGGTAAACCCTTGCCCCCTTGGCAGAGTCTTTTAGCATAGATAGAAGTGCTTCGCTGAGGGTTAACATCATTGAGGTACTTGAAGTTCCCCTTGAAGTTAAGGGTGTTAGCCTGAGATTTCTAGCTTATCAGGTTTCTAATACTGTTGTATTTCTAACGTGCTCTAGAAAAAATGCTGTTCGAGTTGGAGGCAGTGTATTCCTGCATTTTTAATGGTTTACAATTCCATTGCCACCTAACCTTTGCAATGATGTTCAAGGTGGCATCTTTATTTCTGACTGGTCAAGCTCGCAGTTATAAAGTTCAAATCAGAAACCATACAGTATAAACAATATAAGCATCCGTCCAATTGAGGATGCAGCTTTCTCTCTCATTCCATTCTGTGATGTTATTTCCATCTAGCACCTTTAGTTCAAAATAGGTGGAGTGCAGAAAGAGGAGAGAGAGGAAAGAGAGCAGCAGAATACAGATCCTGAACTTCAGGAGAACAGAGTTTGGCTTATCCGGGGAACTGGTGGCAGGATCCTATGAGAGGCAGCTCTGAAGGTCAGAGGAGCTCGGGAAAGCAGGCAGAACTATAAGCACTACATCTTACACTTGCAAGAACTCAGGAGACTAGCTCGATGTACTGGAAGACTGGCTTGGCTAAACGGGGAGCTGCAGTGCAAAAAGGCAGCAGGCAGAAGGCAGAAGCAGGAACAGACTACAAAGGAAGAATTTAGAAGTACTGCCTGGGTATACAGAGGTGGTGTTAGAAAAGCAAAGCTTGACTAGAGTTGAAACTTGCAAGGGATGTCAAGGGCAGCAAGAAGAGCTTCTGCTGCTACGTTAGTAATAATAGATTGAACGTAGAAAGCATAGATGCTTTCAGGGTGCCAAGAGAGCTGGCCAGCGTCCTTGCAGGGTTGCTCTCTGTGACCTTTGAAAGATTCAGGAGTATGGGGGAGGTCCACAGTGACTGGAGAAGTTCAAATGTTGACCTCTCTTCAAAAAAGGCAAGAAGGTCAACCTGAGGAACAGCAAGCCTATCAACCTCACTTCAGTCTCTGGGAAAACCATAGAGCAAATTCACTTTGAGCATATTTCACTGAGGATGGATGATGGAGGAGGACAGTTTAGATGGTCTTTAAATTCATTAATTTCCACTGATTTATTTGTTGCGTTCTAAATATCCTGTAGAGGTTTGGTATAGACTGATTTAAATTGGAGAACTGTTCCTAATATGAAAGAATGCATTTACAGTGTGCCTGGAATAACTCATTTTTGCTGCTTATGAAGGTAGTGTATGTGCTCCTAATGATCTCCTACTGTTTCTCCTTTTCATTTAAATAATAAAAGATTACTTGTCAGCTGATAATGTATAATTCTAGTGTATAATTTAAAAAAAAAAAAAAAAAAACTACCCAAGTGGGAACCTTTCGTTATACTGCTGGTTGTTACATAACTCTGGAGGGGGTCCCAGGCTCTGTGTGGCACAATATGTATATACAGATAGGTTGAATGTGTCCAGACCCACTGGACATGCTCAACAGATTTAGATATGCCCCCGTTTTTTTGCTGTGTTGATCCTTTTTCCTTTTCAAAATAGCAAGATTTTATTTCTAGTTTAAGGTATGTTGATTTATTATGTGGATACCTACCTGTCTCAAATGTAATGAAATATTTTTTTACTCTTTTCATTGCAAACCCATACCTGTATCATCTTGGATGGAGTTAACTTGTTTATACCTACAGATTTTCAGAAATGTAATTCACGAGTAGTTATACTCTGCCAGTATAACTGCCAAGAATTTTATGTTCTTTGAGGCGCTAACTATTATCTTTGAAATTTCCTGCTGTGAGTGGAATTTGTTCTGGCATGTAGTGCATTTGCTTGTTTCCAAGTTTTGTCTTTTTCAAAATCAGTGACAAAATTCTTAATTCACCACATCAATAGCACGTCCTGAAGCTGGAGTACTCTGTGTATATGTGTTGCCTGAGTGGTTAATGCAAAGATTTAACATTTCAGTGAGTGCTAGGAGGTTTTTTTATTTATTTTTATTTTAAGGAAACCATCTCATGTGCCTAAAGGCGTATTTACACTCAACTGAAATGTTTGACTACTTGCCGTTTGCCATCAGTTTCAGCAGTGTGTAACAAGTCAGGTTGATTTCTGATCTCTCTCCAGTTTAGGTTCCTGTGTGCATGTGGCTGCCTGCGTATATTAACTTCCAGAGAAACTTGGAAAGCTCACAAAATTTGTTTTTTCTGTTAAGTGTTCCAGCCCCTAAATACATTTACCACTTACAGTATCACCCAGACTTTTGTTTGTTTTACTTCTGGTTTTACATGAAATATTTGTAAAATTTGCACAAGTTTATTTTTTAAATCATGTTTCAGCAGCTCTGAATATTCCTCCTGAGCTGTCCTGTTTTGAAGTAAATGAAGGCATAAAAATAGCCTGAAGGGTAAATGCTCTCAAAGCGTGCATATGGCTGTGCTGTGTGGAACTACATATTTGGTCCAGATTTGAGAATTAGTAATGACCTGTTCTTCACACAAGAGCAATAGGAATTCAGCATTTTTTAGGTTTCAGCCTGTAAAGTAAGATGCTGCAGTGGACTTTGGAGGGGGAAAATGCATCAGTGTTTTGTTTCTGTGTTAACTACAGCATGAATTAATGGATTATGGAAGAATCTTGAGTTTTCATCTCTATATATAGACTTCAGGACAGCTGTTTTAACTTTTTCAGGTGTCTTTTTTAGCTACCTGCAGCCTGAAGACTGTGTTTATTCTCTGCCTGCATTATTTAATGCAGTAACTTTCAACTCCTTTTGATTTGCAGGCCCCTAAAATTTCAAAGAAATTATATATCCCTCTAGAAATGCGAATATGTGAGTTGCTGTCTGGTGTATATAAACTTTCTTTTCTTTGAGGTTACAAACTCTTTAGAAGTAGTTATAAGCTCTTGGGGTTGATGGACCACAGTTTGAAAATCACTGCTTTAATGCTTACATATGCTGTTAAGTGCGAAATAAATCTTGAGTACTTTTTTCTGCAAATAACATACTTTATTGCCTAATCTTAAGCCTTTTTTTTAATCTCTCTTGCAGAGTATGAGTTAGTGTCATGTGACAGAGCCAAAAATGTCAGACGATATCAAGAAACGGTTCGAGTTTCCCAATACACTTATTCAATCACAGGTAATTGATTTTTCTTTTTTCCTTTTTTATGTTAAACAAACAGAATTGTCTGTGAAACCTTTGTCCCAAGGCCTACTGTCTGGCTGGATAAAGATGGTAAGGAAGCCGTTTTCTTTTTGCCCCAAAGCCAGGAAACTATAAAGGTGGGGTATTTTGAAGTTGCAAAGAATAGCTGATTGTACCGGCTGTGTAATCCAGACATTGGACGTAACTGCTCATCACTGGAAGGATTCTACTTTGCATAAAAATGGGGAACTTTCCAGGATTGAAAGGTTTAAGTGATACCAAATGCTTTTCACTGAACCTGTAATCTTGAGAGAAACCAGGGGTTACCAGTGTCATGGGTTGAGACGATGCTTTGCAAAACTGTCTTTAGAATGCATCTGTTTTTCTTCTCTGTGGTGAGAGCTAATGATGGCCTGTATTTTTGTCAGTCCTCAAAGAATAACTATGTAGAGCTCCACTTTGATCAGCAGACTGAACTCCTTTATTTTCAGATCCATACACTGGCTCCCCATCATATCTATCTGAAACCTTCGCATGTAAATTAAGTATTTGTCTTAATACTTTTACTGGACAGTAAGGAAGAGAGCACTTTCCTGCTTCGGACATTCCTCTTTTTTCAGCATTAGAAACGTGTCTCTTGAGCTGTAAGATCATAGCTAACTTCTCTTACTTTCTGCCTCTTCCTGTTTGTTTTAATCTTTGTCCTTACTTGCCTCAAAAACTGTATGCCATGAAATGTATTCTGAATTCAGGGTAGTACTTGTAGCCATTTGTTTGACGGAGGAAGTTGATGCGAACTGTGCAACCTGGTGCCTTTTCACTTCACCTGAAGCTGTGCTGATATACAATAATGCAGTCTGAAAGAGAGACACAGAGATCCCCTTGTGTTCAGCTTGGTATTTAGAAGAGGATGGCTTGCCTCTGGAAGCTACAGTTCACCCAAACTCTAGCAAAATGTCTTGTAGTCATAATGAGTTCGCATCATCTCATTTTATGGGTAGGATTTGCCGTCTTTGAACCGTTCAGTTTTCAGTGTAGAAAAACGTCTAGTGTTGCAAGGGGTGCACGTACTGCTAAAATCTTTTTTGGCCTGCCACTACAGCTGCTCATCATTAAGGGCCACTGGTACTGGGTTTTGTGTTGTGCTTTGATTATTTCACTAGCTTCCATTTCTTTTCTCTGGCCTCTCAAAAGCATGCCATAATCTTTAAACCTTCATCAGGTCAGGATTTGACTTCGTAAGGGACCTCGTCTCTGTTTCGAATCAGCCAAGACATCTGCTCTATGAGACATGTAACTTAAGAGGCAGGGATCCATGAAGTTAGGGTATTGAGAATAGTTCTGTAGGTCTAAAGGTTTTACTGATGAATCAAGTTCTTGGAGCACAGTAGGCTAATCTACAGTCTTTCTTTCGAGTATAGCTTACAGCAAAAGCCTCTCTGTTGATAAGCTTTTTTTCCCCAATGTAATGAACATGTTTTTAAGGATGCAGATGTGAGTTTATTTCTGAAATCCCTTACGAGCAGAAAAAAGAAAACTCATAGAAGATTTGCATATAAGTGCTCTAAAATAAATCTAATCTGGGTTGGGAGCTTGCGGCTGCTCTTGTGATGGGGTAGCTGCAGAGAAACAGAAATATCTGACTTTGTCCCTTTATTCTCGTTCATTTTTCACAACAGCAAGATGCCCAGAGAGTAAGCTATCTGATGCTTTTATTTTTTTATTTTTTAGCCACATATATCAGAATATGTATCCAAACCTTTGAAAAGAATAATCCTTGTAGTCTAGGAATGTTCATAGTGTCATCTTTTCTGGAAATGTAAATTATTATCTGAAAGTGCCACTGCTTATTGTGTCCAGCTAGCAGCTGGTATTTAAAGGAAAGTAAATAAACGCTGAGGGAGAAGGAACCTGAAAACATTTAAAACAATCTATGTTCCTGTCTCTTTACACACTAACAAAACAGAAATGCTCTCTTGGCTGGTTTTTTTTTTTTGTTTGTCTTGCTGGCTTCCCAGTTTCCCTTTGCCTGCTTTAAGGTGTTAGAGATGACTCAGAAAACCAAAGCCTCAATTCAAACCCGTTGAGGCTTTTGAGACTGTTTCAGTATTTCAGTCCATGTTTACCTTTTTAAAAGCAGACTGAGGAAATTAGATATTCCTTCTATTAAAATAGAATTTAAAAATTTAATCTTATATCTCAAATGTAAATATAAGTTTTTTTTAAGCCCTGCTTGAGGAACAGCATTTTTTTGGAGGACCTTGGAAATTTAGGTATGAATCTTATTTCATGATCTCTTTGACACGATAAAGCTTATAAGGAATACAGTTTAAATCAAATGCTTGTTTAAAGTAAATGAAGCATTTCTGGCAGTAAATATGCAGTCAGATATGCAAAGTACTTAAGAGTATATTTGTGGTCAGCATTCTACTGAAGTGCTGCAAAACTTTGGGCAAGTTGCTTAACTTTGGGCAAGCTGCTCAGCTGTGCTCTGTTTTACTTCTCTTGCTTCCTGTGCCTTGTATAGTGAAGGATACAGTAACTGCCAGTGCATGTAAGTACACTGAGATCTGTATGATAATGGAGCTTTATATATCTGTTAAAGCTAATATGCAGGAATGGCAGATAATTTAATGTATGTATCTGGTCCTAATCTTAAAAGAGGTTCTGGACACAGACGCCCTTATATTTATGTGGTGCCCTGTGGAGGCTTGCTTCCCTTGTAGAGCAAGGATAACAGTAAAAGGTGAAATGGCAGCATTATGGAGATATTTGGCCCTAAAATACACTTCAGCCTCCGGAACAGTAAGTTTGCTGTTGTTTCTAGTTCTTGCATCGGTATCTCCCTTAGCTATCCTGTCAGTACAACAACAGGATAAAGTCTTCCTAACGGAGATGTGAAAAATGATGCTTGATCTGTATGTGTTTTTATTTCTTTTTCTCTTGTAGGCGGTGGCTCATCTGATTGCTGCAGTACTGAAAGAAAATGTTTCTTCAGAGAAGATAAGACAGGCCTCTGACCAGGTCTGTGCCATTCTTTCAGTTCTGTCTCTTCTTTTCTGTCCATAGCTGCTTACATTTTTCTGTGGATTTCCATTCTCCAGTGTGCTATTTTAATAAATCCTGAAAGTTCGGTAAGGTACTCAGCAGTATGTTTCTGGGTATGCAAGTGGACACTGCAAGTCTCTGGGATCAGAAAAGTAGTTTTACTTCTATGCAGACTGGGTATCAGACTGGGGAATACGAACATCTAGCTATACTCAGTTGAAGAGTTTTATTTGGGTATATTTGCCTTACAGCGAGTGAAGATTCTGACACATGGTGAGCTGTTTGAGTAGAAAAATCTTTTACATTCCTACCAAAATTCCAAAAGGTACTGGATTTCAGATATCAGTATTGATGTTTGTTCTTGCTTGTGTCATGCTTGACCATTCTGATAGCCTTCTCTGATGGAATGACTGGCTGATGAGGGTAGATGAGGGCAGAGCAGGGAATGCTGTCTGCCTGGACTTCAGCAAGGCTCCCGACACTGTCGCCCATCACATCCTCCTAGGGAAACTCAGGAAGCGTGGGCTGGATGAGTGGAGAGTGAGGTGGCTTGACAACTGGCTGGACGGCAGAGCTCGGAGGGCTGTGGTCAGCTGCGCAGAGTCCAGTGGGAGGCCTGTAGCTCGCGGTGTCCCCCAGGGGTCAGTGCTGGGCCCAGTCTTGTTCAGTGCATTCATCGGTGACCTGGAGGAAGGCGCAGAGTGCGCCCTCAGCAAGTTGGCTGATGACACTAAACTGGGAGGAGTGGCTGACACACCAGGGGGCTGTGCTGCCATTCCGAGGGACGTGGACAGGCTGGAGAGCCGGGCGCAGAGGAGCCTCATGGAGTTCAGCAAAGGCAAGGGCAGGGTCCTGCACCTAGGCAGCAATAACCCCATGCCCCAGTCCAGGCTGGGGGCTGACCTGCTGGAAAGCAGCTCTGCAGAGCAGGCCCAGAGAGTCCTGGTGGACGACAAGTTGAGCATGAGGCAGCAGGGTGCCCTTGTGGCCAAGAAGGCCAAGGGTCTCCTGGGCTGCAATAGGAAGAGTGTCGCCAGGAGGTCAAGGGAGCAGATCCTGCCCCTCTACTCATGGGGAGGGGAGGCCTCACCTGGAGTGCTGTGTCCAATTCTGGGCTGCCCAGTACAAGAGAGACATGGCACGACTGGAGAGAGTCTGGCAGAGGGCTATGCAGGTGATGAGGGGACTGGAGCATCTCTGCTCTGAAGAAAGGCTGCGAGAGCTGGGCCTGTTCACCCTGGAGAAGAGAAGACTGAGGGGCGATCTCATCAACGTGTCCAAGTATCTGAAGGGAGGGTGTCCAGAGGATGGGGCCAGTCTCTTCTCCGTGGTGCCCAGTGATAGGACAAGAGGCAGCGGACACAAACTGAGACATAGGAAGGTCCATGTGAATATAAGCAATAACTTCTGTGCTGTGAGGGTGACAGAGCCCTGGAACGGGTTGCCCAGAGAGGTAGTGGAGTCTCCTTCCCTGGAGACATTCAAAACCCGTCTGGATGTGATCCTGGGAAATATGCTCTAGAGGTCCCTGGGAGAGTAGGGGAGTTGGACTAGATGATCTCCGGGGGTCCCTTCCAACCTGAACCATTCTGTGATTCTGTAATTCTTTCATATTAGCCAAGTAGAGCTCACACTTCCTTTGGAGACAGTAGACTTGATGCAAGTGCATACTGTGCCGTTTAGTTTGGTCAAACAAAACGTACCAGCAAGTGGAGAGAACTGAGGGCTTCCTTCGAAGAACAGAGATGGCTTACCTCTGGATAACTCTTTGTGTACTGCCTGTACCTGTTTGCACTATGCCCTGCTGTAGATGTGATTCAGTTACAGAACAGTTCCTGAACTATGTCAAATTACAGTCTTAATTTTTTAAAGTAACTAAAATTACTGCCAACTTACCTGAATAGGCCAAATTGCAAAATTCTTATTGTTCCTTCGAGACTGCTCTCTGTGCTGCTGGGATAAGCAACTGGGGACAGGAGACATGGGACCTGTCCTCAGGAAGGCCTTTCTTTGGTCACAACTGAGATCTCTAGCTTCCTCCTTTTTGCTTTATAAGACTTCAAAAGTTGTTGAGTAGGTTTTTACTTAAAATAGTGTTTGAGATGAACACAGAGAAATCCATGTCAGCCTTCTCATTACTTATTTCTTCTTTTGATTTCAGACTCCAGCTCTCAACTTGCTCTGGGAAAAGTGCTGCAGTGAGAATGTGGCCCTGCGAACAGCCTGCTCTGAAGGATTGGTGGCACTTGTTGCAGAGAAACATGCTGATCTCAGCTATGTTCTTCATGGAGCTCTCAACCTAATTCCCTCAGCCAGGTAGTGTGTGTTTGCTGGATTCTGTGCCTTTTGTCAACTGGTCATTCCTTTTCCCCTTGCAAATGCAGTGGAAGAGGTGCAGCTCTGTGGATGACAGCATCTTCAGACCAGCCCTGGCATTAAGGACTAACTGTACCTTGCCCCTCTGCTGGATACTGCTTCCATCACAGCAGTGGCATTGTGAGTCTACCTCTTGAGATAAGAATTCGTAGACCATTCTGTCATGAAAGCTGAAACTGGTAGTAGTTTAGGCTAATGCTCTGAACTTTGAACTGTATCACCTCAGAAATCAATATGCTGCCTAGTTTTGCTGCCCCTTTCATGAGAAAGGGGAAAGAAAACGGCAGTGACTTCCATCATGGTATGGAAGGAGGGGAGTAACTTCCTTAGCAGCCCAAATCACCAGCTGGTCACATGGAGTCATCATAAGGCACTGGGTGAAGGTTAGGGATGCTTGGTTTGTTCCCGTCTTTGCTAACGAGTAAATCACTTTACCTAACTCTGAAGCTGTTTCCTCTTACAAAATGTTACAGATATGATGCCAACATCTCGCATTGGTGTTTTAAGTTAGATTGCCTTTGCAACATGCTGAGAGAATGCAAACTGTTGTGGATAAAAACAGTATGCGTAATAAAACTTAAGAATGGGAAGCCAGATGATGTTTTGGGAAGATGCTTCCATTCAGGTTCTCCTTGGTGTATGTTTCTATCTCTCTTCAGACTTTTGGCAGATGTATGGGTTGCAGTCATAAGCCTTTGTATTCCTTGCCTAAAGAATGGTAATGTCCTTTCTTAGGCATGGCTGGTAATTAATGCTGCATCTGCTAAGTATTATGCTGGGGGGACCTCAGCGTAAAAGTTGTAGGAACCATGCCATTCAAGACGTGTTTTTCACTCCTAACCTTCATACAGTTAGTTTTAGGCTGAGGTTTCTCATGATCAATCTGAGCCAGTGAAACTCTAGTGAAACACTTCTGAAGAAGTCAGATCTTAATAAAAAATTCTATTTCTGTCCTTGTGACTGGCTTGTTCAGAGCTGAGTTTGGGTTAAGATCTTGTCCTGATCATGCTGACTCTATGCTGAATTTACAATATTTGGATCCATAGGAAAGTTTTTGTAAATATATGTATTTTTTATAGTAATTTCTTTGGAGGACAGTAGTCTGCAGGACAAAATTCAGTTAGTTCAATGTGGGGTCAAGGGAAGAATTGTTGACAAGAAGTTAAACCTCTGCTTTAGATGATGAGAATCTGAATCCTATGGCATAAATTGGAGGGAAGGTTTCATTAGCTGTGGCGCACAGACTAAGAAGAAAGTGAAATTCCTGTTCAGCCAAGCATTTGTTGCAGGTTCAGCAATTTTCAGGGAGATGTAATTGTAATGTTAATGCAATTTTGTACTTCAGGAAAAAGAAAGTGTAAAGCAGAGTATTCAAGATTGAGTTAACCTTAAAAACAAACTTGTGGTATAGCAGTTATGGTAAAGGGCTTGGCTCTATCCCAGTTCCCACACCATTATCAGCTTTTTGCTTGCGAAACAGATCCACGTGTGAGACCAACATCATGTTGGCTGCTATGGTAAATGCCGGCTGTGCTGGTAAATCACCCAGGAAGGTTTCATGCCTATGTTTTTGGCATTTCTGCTCAAGCTGCCACAATTCAAACCGCATCCACTATGGATTGCAAAGCAGAGTTTATATAGCTTAACCACAAAGGACCCTGAGTTTGAAATGTCTGTAGCCCCAGGATTTGATTAGCCTAACAGCTTCTGATTGGTTCATTTCAGTGCTGATGCATTTTTTTGACTCTTGGAACCTTAGCCAGCTGTTCCTTCATTCTATTCCCTGCCAAGTTTTCATTCAGATTTGCTTTGGGGATTTGGACTGCTGTGTGCACCAGTGTCTTTAAAAGAAAGTAAACATATTTGCAGCCAAAAGAAAGACATATGCAACTGCTGAGCTCCATTCAGTACAGGATGGAGCTGGGTGAGTGTTTTATTCAAACAGCACTTTTTTGTGTTCTTGCTTCCCTCCCTTCTCTGTTACGATGAATTCAGCAAGGGCTTCATACACCTTTTTTTTGGTGTGTGTGTGTGTGTGTGTGTGTGTGTCAGATTTATCAAATTCTGTGAAAGATAAGTTGTGTCACCGGGATGCACATCCAGCGCTTATCTGAGTTGATGGTGTTGCCGTTCACGCTATCTACTTATTACGCAAACAAAAAATGTTCTTGTCTATGGCTCACCATCCATATTTGGTTTCTTATAGTCCGTATTCGGTTTCTTTTGAGGCTTCTGGAGTCTAAACTTTGGGGAATGTCTTGAGGAATATTTTTCATCTCGGTATGATGACGGTATGATTTCCTCTGCTGGTAGAAATCATCATAGGCCTTTTGTGTTTTAGCAGAAAGAAAAATTCCATGGAAATAAGAAAAATCTTTTAACCGTATTCTGTCAGCATTGATCTGGTCAGTGTTTTCCAGCACTGTTTGCAAGAGTATGGAAAAGACAATAATGGATGAGCATAAATAATCAAGTTAGCCTATTTAAAAAGTGAAATAATGAAATTATTGTAATCTTTAAGGAATTAATGCCTGAACTATATTTATGTATTATATTCTTAAAATACTTTTCTCACCTGAGCGTTTTCTCCTGCAGAGGGAGCAGATCTTGGCGATATGTCATGTCAATGTGTGGTGTTAGTTAGGAGCTGAATGCAAAGCCAAAAACAGTTCTTCTCCCCTTGCATCTCATCTGAGTATTAGGTCCAGAAATACTGGAATTCCAGAAAAATGAGGCCTAATTTCTAACTGTGTTTTATTGCTTGTTTTCTCTCACTTCATAGTTACTCTATAGAAATTGGGGGATATGCTGTGAGATTTACCATTTAACTGGCTCTTTGTAGTCTTAAAATATCTAAAAGGTTAAATGTTTTTCCCCTTCTCTGTACACCCATCCATGTGTCTTTTGTTTGCTATATTAGGGACAGGAAACCTGCTGTAGTCCTCTTTTTTTGGTTGCTTGGCTACAGGACTCTGCCTAACCTTATTTTCTTGTGTAGTCATCTTTCAGTGTTTTGATGCTCAGGTGTCATGACAACCTGTAATTTTAGTGATTATAGGCACATCTAATAACCATATTCTAGCAGCATTGATCTGATCAGTGTTTTCTAGCACTGTTTGCAAAGGTATGGAAAAGACTAGCAAAAGGGAATTTACTTCTCTGCCTGCACCTGGAACATAGACCTAAACAGTTCATTGTGGGAAGATTCATTGTGGAATCTGTAGTCATTCTGTGGTGGACCCTACCAGCTTATGCTAGACATTCATTCTGGAAAGTCTGTCTGAAGGTGGTGATGAGTATAACAAAGATCTGAAAGTGAAAAGTGATGTTTGTTTATGTGTTCCCATTTTATTTGGGGAATGACATGAAGATACTGTAGCAAAGATGAGAATTTGGTGGAAGAAAATCATTCCACAAGTACATTTTCTGACCCTAATTTAATTGAAATCGGTGTTTAGAATATATTAAAACCTGAAAATCAGCTCTTCTCTGAATGCATGTGTGAGGGTAAACGTTCATCATAGTACACAGAAGTTTCAACCGTGCAACTGTCTACCAAAAGGAAGCAGCCAAATCCTCTACCCTGAAAATTACCTCCTCAGAGAGGACTTGGGTTATGAATGGACTTACGTGCATTTAGACTTTTAAGTGATAGCGCAAAATTTGAACAAATTTAAGTAACTTCTGTGTAAGAACACTGAGACTTTATGTAGGCTCTAGTAAAAGGAACTAACGAGTTTTCACACAAACGGGCTGAACCAGCATAAATACATCAGCACACCTCTCTCAGAGACAATGCTTGAAATGCTACCAGCTGCCTCTGATGGAGTAACAATATTTAATCTAAAAGAAAAATCACGTGGCTTGATATTTGTCACATACTTATGGCTTGATATTTATCAGATACTTCACAGAAAATTCAAAAATAAAGCAGGTGAAATATCATACAGGTATTGAATCACAACCCCATACTCATCTTTATCATCACTTTACCAAAAGAAAAGCAGACACGTGGATGAACAACTTGGCCAAAATTTTGGAGCCAGGTGTGAGGAGGTCCTTAAGGAGACGCTGAGTATTCTTAGGTGTCGGTTTTGTGCCTGGATTCCTCCTGTTATGAAAGAATCAACTAATGCAGCTCTGTATATAATGTATTTCTTTTTGCCAACAGGAATGTGCATGGTTTGGTAAAAACTATTTGGAAATTATTACAAATGCAAACCCTTCACCTGGGAAAAGATGGAGATGAGGCTGTTTGGAATTTGTATGCAATCAGGTGAGTTTCACATCAATTTTATGTAGATATCCTCATAACTTCTCGTCTAATTTCCAGCAAAAATACAGTGTTGATACTGGTCTGTGGCCCCCCCCCCTTTTTTTTTTTTTTTTATTTTTGGCCGGCATACCCAAATCTCCCACGGTAGAAGACAAAGAACCTACCTGATGGGAAGGCTGCATTTTTGAACTTATCGCCTATTATCTTTATAAACGCCTAATTGTGGGGGAAGGCTGTTCTGCAGAGCTCAAGCCACTTTGAACACTAAACAACATCAGCCAGTAATCTCTTGTGGAAAAAAAGATCTTATTAGTCCCAGTCCTCACAAAACAAATCTAACTTATCATAGCCACAGCTAGGCAGGCTTGGAAAGTGTTAAAACAGACCTTAATGTACAGAGAATGAATGTTCTCTGGAGCTGTCTGTTCATTCCTTTGGGCAAGCAACAACAAATGAGACAATTTTAGCATTAAAGGCGGAGACTAATGTGAAACAAATAAATTTACCAGAATATATGATTGCCAATAACTTTGTGAGGTGTTTTGATGCATTTTTAATCTAGCTCTGTAACTGCTTCAAGGTCTTAGGATATTTAAGGATCTCACCAGACTAGGTCTGGAATACATCGAAGCTTCTTTCTTTTCATAACATGCTAAAACAAAACATGCTTTAGTTAACAAACCCAGTTTGCTGAGCTTCTTCTCTTTAAGAGAACTGCCAAATAACTTTGATGTATTTTTGGTTGAAAGTTTTAAGGAATTTTGTAGTACTACAGAGATGACATTGCCGCTAGAAGCTCAAAGAGGGATAACAGGAACAGGAAGGCTGTGTGAATGGGAAACAAATAAATCTGGGGACTTGTTCATATGCAGTAGCTGGATGATATGCTTGAATGTCCCTTTAATGACACTCCCTTTCACCTGTTTTTCCTTCTTTCTTTATGCTGTCAGAGTAAGGTTCCCTAAATGCTTTTACTCTTAAAGAGGCTGCTGTGTAAAAATGATTTCAAAATGCATCCAGAGCTAATGTAATGCATTCTACTAATGTAGAAGCTGCTTGTCATACAATAGCAGCCTTCGTAAAGGAAGATCTTGGCGATTCCAGCCAGCTCTACAGAAACTGTGAGTCAGTGTTGACTTTCATAGCCATCACTGTATCTTCTTCTGGAGAATATTCTAGCTCTGGTAGATGTCATGAACTTTTTAACGTTGCTTTTTATGCTGGTAAGAGCTATCAGTGTAGGAATGTTGTAGCTGTACTTGTTTAAGGATATAAAAGACTGATTTTGGTAAAGAGGGGGTCATGTCTTTACATAGACAAAATAAAATAGTAAGGAATAGTGGAACAAACTTTGAGGAGCTTGATGCAGGACTTGCACTACTGAAATCCAGTGTACTTTTGTTTTTCTAGCCATATGAGTTCTTTTTACGAAGGTCAGGCCTTTACAGAAGTTTTAATTGAGAAGATAGGTATTGAAGAATAGTGAGATGGAACTCTTCTGGAAACGTTTTTCCTTTAGTAGTAAACAAACTATTTTTTTCAATCTTCTGGTGGAAGAGCCTAAGTTAAAGCAGCTTAATCCAGTCTCCATGTGAAAAGAGGATAGTAGGCTGTGGCTGGGCTGTAGAAACAGCCCCTCCCCAGGTAGGCAAAAAAAGACCTTTTCTTGAAGAAAAATTACTGGTAGCATACAGGGACGGTGAATTTTGACATTTCAAAATGGTTTAAATTAATAGAGAACTGAAAAGAAGCGTCACTCTTGCACTTGTCCTATACTCAGCCAGTGCTCACTTTTCTCCTTTTGCTTCTAATTCACTTTACTGAAGTGAGAAGTCAAATTAGCTGTTTGACTCCGTTTCAAATATCTAATAGGTCAAAGCCGTGTGACATGATCTTTCAGGTTGTAGTGTAAAAAGGGCATGTCTTCATTCAGTGACTTGATAGAACAATGAGAATTGTTATGTAACAAGTGCTATAGTGTGTTTCTAGTTATTATATTACACCTAGGGTTATTGCGAAGCAGTCATTAAAACTTAGTTTCTGAAAGAAAAATGAGATTAGTAACATCCTATTATAATTATTCATATAGGTGTCAACTCAGTGCGTAAGTGTTCCATAGAGAAATCAACAATGGAGAATTGAAAATGTTCTAAATTAGTTTGCTATTGTCATCTGTCTTAGGACGTTTTAAAAGCAATATTATGAGGTAATTAAAAATGTCTTTTATAATTTAATTCTAGATAATAGTATATTTATAATATAGCTTCTCATTGTATAATGTTCTGAACAGTTTTTGGAAAGAAATGGGAGAAAATAGTGTCTTGTAATTCTGGGGATTTGTCTAGTTATTTTATCTGGTTTCTTTAGGGGAAGCTTCTGTAATTTTAATGCTATGATTCTCCACTTTCTAGTCAACACTGGAAAATAGAGAAAGAATTCCCCCATTTTTACAAAACGCAAGAAGTGTACATTTGTCTCTGTCAAACTGGTAGAAAGCTGTGCCATGTTTGTCACTTAGTTTTGGGCTCCCCAGTCTCTTTTAGTAGGCTATTTAGCTCTCACTGGGTTTGGGAGGGAGAGGGGGAGCATTAAGTAGATAACAGTCATTTCAGATTTGAGCCGGGTGTTTCCCTGGCCTACGAATGTATGTATTATAAGCAAAGAGATAAAATGTAGAATTCTTACTACTAAACACATTTGTGATGCAAAAAATAATTATTTTTCACTATTTCCGTCTTGACCTATGTTTTGCTGTTTTGTTACTAAAGCTTTGGGGTGGGAGAATAATTGTAACAGGAAGTGTATGCAACCAATGCATTCATGAAGAATATGTAAAATTATGTGAAATAGGTTTTCAGCATTATCAGACCAGACTACAACTTTGGCTGTTCATTTTTACAGAAAGCCATTAACACCTGTTTTAATAAACTTATATTTTACATTATTCTTAATGATTCACCATGCGTGTTATTTTTGCCTAAAAATGCTGGAGAGCTGCACCTCCCTTGTCTTATTGACTTGCAACCGCCCCTCCGAAATCAAATCTCAGAGCAGGCAGAAATACTTTAAAAATGCATATTTGACGGAGTAAAGTGCTGTGCTGCGTTTCTGAAAGGGCCAGGGTCGTAGCTGTATACATGAAAATGCATGGTTGCTGCAGACACTGTTTCCTCATACAGAAAAAGCAATCTATCACTGAATTAATGATGTAAATGAAATAATAGCTCTCTTGTGTTCAGAGGTGTAACAAAAAGGTTAAGGTAAGTTAAAAGTAACTTCTGCTTCGTTGTTGCCTAGCATAAGGTTAATCTGTTTCCCTGGACGCTCATGAATTTACATAAAGATAGCTGAATGTAGTTGTTTATTTCACTTTATCGTAAACCTTTGCCAGTGGGATCAGTATAATAGCATTTTAATGTCATTTAAAGATGTGTGTGTTACAGTCTAAGCAAAGCACCGCTAACAGAGCGGTGGAAGACAAATTTCCATATACATATCTCATTTTTCCTACCACTATTTGCATTATCAAATGGAATTTGTGGGGGGGGGGGCTGCACATTTTCATGTTTTGTTATAAATCACTGTTCACTGTAGAGCGTAACAGATTTTTTTTGTTTTTGTTTTTGTTTTTTTTTATCATAGAGTTCAGTGCAGTCACCTGAGTTTCAGAGGACACAAAATATCAGCAAAAAAGGCTTGTTTCTTCTGGACACTAAGCCATTTTAATTTTAGGTTTAGTGTGTTACATACTCCTACTTTACGAGAGTTCCACTGACTTCAGTGTCATAGCAGCATTTACATGACTAATACATTCCTCTAATTTGGAAAAGTAATTAGTTCTTGTAGCAAAGGCCTTGAAATAAGCAAGTGCTGTAACTTCGTATGGCTGTGCAGGACTGTGTTCTTTCAAGGTCGCAGCATGAAAGCTGAAAAATATTTCTATCTTGCTGCCCAAAAAATCATCTTGGTGGTCTACAGTACCAGAAGGTGAACACATTTCTGTGTGTCTTGCATGCTGTTGTGTCTTAGAAAGTCCAAATTGGGCATTGGCTTTAGCTTTTCCAGTCTTTGTACACAGTTCATAAGAGACTCCACAACTTTAGCAAAGGATTTACAGAATTAAGGAAAGTATGCATCATAAAGGCCATGTATGTAAGTAAACAAATTTTAGAGAAGTGAATGTGGGAAAAGCTGAACTAAAAGTGAGGGCAAGACCTGTAATATATATGCACAGTTTGTGGTCTTAGTTAATGTCTATTTTCTGAACATTCTGCAAATAGTCCATCACATTAGCCAGTTTTCTGAAAGTCCTTACTTCAAATTCTTTATCTGCTTGAACAGAAACACACCTTTTTGGAAGAAATACTGAGCAGAATTCAGAGCAAATTCTTCTAGTGCCTGATTTTTTTTCTTCAGTGAAAATTCATTCTCTTTTTCTAGTCTGAATTTGCAAGTTTCGAATCCTAGCTTCTGTTTCTTGTTTACTAGCTCGACAGGACTGTTATACTCCTTGACAGGTAGTATGAAATTTGTGCTCTCCATGAGGGTACTTAGACTGCTATGACGCTTATCTTTTAATCTAATCCTTGATAGCTGTGCTTACAATGAGATGTGTATTTTCCCAGTCCTTTAATTGTTCTTATGGGTGCCCTCTAGACTTTTCCAATTTTCTGAAAACCTACTTGAAGTATGGACAGTTTAGCCAGTAAATTCAAGAAAATGATTGTGGCTTTTACTTAGTCTGCTTATTATATGACATCTGGAGTGTTGCGTCCAGCCCCTGGTACAGGAAAGAAGTGATAAACTGGACTGAGATCAGTGGAGGGCTGCTAGGATTGTCAGAGGGCTGAAGCACATGCCCTAAGTAGATAGCCTGAGGAAGCTAGGCTTGTTCAGTTTGGAGAAGGGACAGCTTCTTGGAGACCTAACAGCAGCTGTCGGAGCACCGAAAAGAAGGTTATCAAGAGTGCAAAGCCAGGCTCTTTACTGAGGTGCTTGATGGAAGAATGATGGGCAGTGAGCCTATGTTGAAACAGAGGAGCTTCTAAGTGAATATAAGGAAAAACATTTTGCTAAGAGCGCTGGAGCAGGTTGCCCAGAGAGCTAATGTAAATTTTCCCTACGTTGAATATAATGCTGAAATGAGTTCTCGTCTATAACTCTTGGAATAATCCCAGTCATAGGCAGCAGAAGACTTCAGCTCTGAGACTGAAATCTGCTTTGACTACTTTTTTTTTTTTTTTTTCCATCCCACATTAAGTGAGGGTGCTTGTCCTGCTTTCAAGAGTGATTTTGGCAATTCCAAACACTATTCCATTTAAAATTCTGTCTGTTAAAACAAGGATCATTAAGCACACAAAATTATATACTTGAAAGCTGCAAAATAGTTAGGAAGCTGGATTAATTATTTTTATATTTCTCTCCCCTTTCTGTCCATGTGATTCATTTTAAATGCTAAGATGGCACTGGCTTACAAACTGTTCAGTTAGTCTAGGCAGAAATCTAGACATCTCCTGAAGAGCTTGTCCAACTACTTTATTTCTAGTCCGTTCTCCTGGGTTATCTTAGCACAAGATCACCTCCAAATTTAACTTACTTTCTTATTGGCTGTCTGAATAGCTTGAAAGCTACTAATTAAAGTATTTTTATGAAGATTTATATACAGTATGTCAAAGTATTCTCTCTTTTAAAACTCATTAAAGAGGTGGCAGACATAAGAACAGAAGTCTGCCTATCACTTTCCATCGCTAAATTTCTTTCTGTCTTTAGGCGTAATAGCCTCTTAATAGGTCTCAGTTCCCGAAATCCATACAGGTGCTGATTTTTTTTCTTAATGTTTTTGTTCAGATGCTATTTTGCTCAGATTGCTATAGCAATATATTTTTGTTATTTGCTATGTTTAGACTTTCTTCAGAATCTCCAAGAAAGATCTCTGGTTATACTTCTGAGTCTCTGTAATGTACAGGTTCTAAAGTGTCTGTATATGGGATGACTTAGCATCAGTTTTCTTTACCTGATTTTAATGTATTCCTGAGAGTTCCATGCTATTTGTTTAAAGGCACAGTTGTCTTCATGCCTAATCAGAAATTACCTGAGTATGTTTTAGCCTTCTTCCTAACAAATTATGTTTATAAATATCCTCTGAGCTAAACCATCTGTCTCTATGCTGATGTCTTGAGCTCTGTAGTTACAGAATCACAGAATCACAGAATCGTTTAGGTTGGAAGGGACCTCTGGAGATCATCTAGTCCAACCTCCCTGCTCAAGCAGGGTCACCTAGAGCATATTGCCCAGGATCACATCCAGACGGGTTTTGAATATCTCCAGCGAAGGAGACTCCACTACCTCTCTGGGCAACCTGTTCCAATGCTCTGTCACCCTCACAGTGAAGAAGTTTTTTCTCAGGTTCAGATGGAACTGCCTGTGCTTCAGTTTCTGCCCATTGCCTCTTGTCCTGTTGCTGGGCACCACAGAGAAGAGGCTGGCCTCATCCTCTCG